TGTCTGCGCACCCCCCCCCCCCCCCCCCCCATGTGTACTCTTCTCTCACTGTCTCTCTCAAAAAAAAAAAAAAAAAGGTGCCGTATCCCTTTAATATTTTCTGAGCAGAGACATCACCATCCTGATCTGGGTTTATGCTGGCTCTGGAATCGTATCAAGAACCAGTTGAGATGCAAAATAAAAGGGTCTTGAAAAGATTTCCAAGCTAATTAGGTTGTGTATTTGGGGAGTATATCTGGTTGTGAGTATTACGAGGCTGAGAGGTTGCACTGTGTAAGCCAGGGTATGGGGACAAAACCCTGGCTTGGAATTCCAGTTCTGCCTCTTTTTAATCTGTAAAGCCTTAGGGAGTTGTTTACCTTTACTGAGACTCCATTTCCTCTTCTGGAAATGAGGTGGTTGCACTCACCAGCCTAGGCATTCTGTGACCTGAGATTAGGAAGGCAGCCTGCCTTCTGGAACTGTCCGCCGTGCTAACACAATACCTGGCATATATTAACAGCAGTTGATCAATGTGGAATTCATTAGTGGATGGCTCCACTGCTTAGAATCTGTGTGGCTTTAAACAAAAGGATTTTAAGTCTCCGTTACCTCCTCGGTAAAAGGAAAATAGTAATTCCTTATGCAAGCTGCTTAGGACAGTGTTTCCCAAAGTATGTTCTGCAGAGTACAAGTGACATGGTATTTTTGTCGATATTATAGAGAAAGAAAAACAGAAACACTAGGTTCAACAAAGTTAAACAGAGTTCTCTGCTGCAGACGTGGAGACTTCCATCCGTGTATATGTTGGCGGTGCTCCCAAGAGGAGGCTTGTCAGGCACTGCGGCTCTGACTTGTTTTTGACCCTGGAGCTCTCTCTTTGGAGCCCCTCAGGCGATTAATGTTCCTTAGACTACCTGTTTGGGCACCAAAAAAAATCTGGTTTGAAGGATCAAATGCAATTGCTTGTTATTGTTGTAAATTTCATACAAGAAATTTAGAGTTTGTTTTTCATAATTCTGTGTTCTTGCCAGGATGACTACTTCCACAATGTGTAGGCAAATTCTGGCAACTTGTAGACCCATTTCTTTCCTGCTAATCCACTCACATGCTTCAAGTTTCAAGATGGGCCCCTGAATGCTGATTGCATGTCCCATTCCCTAAAATTCCATAGCCCCTTATACATCTCAGACATGTCACGATTTATGGGTTAATTTTTGGCAACAGTGAATGCTGATCTCCTCATTAAGACATCAAGCGTTTCATGGGGCGCCTGGGTGGCTCAGTCAGTTAAGCGTCTGACTCTTGATTTCAGCTCAGGTCATGATCTCAGGGTTGGGAGGTCGAGTCCCGCACTGAGCACAGAACATGCTTGGGATTCCCTCTCTCCCTCTCCCTCTGCCCCTCCCCTGCTTGCATGCTCTCTCTCTCTCAAATAAATAAATTAAATTTAAAGAAAAAAAAAAAAGGACACCAAACATTTCTGAGTGACTAGAATGTGCCAGACACTACAGCAAGCTCTGGGGATACAGGGACCATTAAGCTATGATAACTTCAATGGAAGGGCTCATGATCTTTTGGGCAAATGGAGCAAGGTCCATGCCTGCACGGAGAACTATGTCATGCAGAAAAATGCTGGAGGTCCTTGTAAGAGGAAGTATGTAATTCAGCGTGCCTTGGACATGGGAAGCAAGGCAGAGCTTCTGGCAAAGGGCTTTCTCGGAGCAGTGCCTTGTAAAATGTAAAAGGATTAGGGCAGGGAAAGGGAGCAAACAAGACCGTCAAAGCAGAGCAGGGCACCAGAGTCCAAAGGCTATTCAGCCTCTACATTTGCGGGAGCTTGTGCACAGGCATTCAGCAGGGACAGCAGGGAGGTGGGGGAGGCTACTGGCTGGAAAGGTGGTTTGGAAGCAGGGTATCCCAAGAGGATTCAGTTTTTTTCCAGGAAGCTGGCAGCCATTACGCTTTTGGGGCCGGACAGCATCATGATTGGATCTGGGGCTCAGAGTCCACTTGGCCCTGACTAAGCCATCCCTCCCCTCTATTTGTTTCATGTGGGCTTCCTCCTCCTTTCAGCTGCATGTTATATCTCTATAAATCTTCCTTTCACTTGTTTCTGGTCCCTCCTCTAACGTGTGGTTATTTTGACACCCTTTCCCCCCCGTAATCCAGCCCCCAGGGAGCCAGCCCCAATCCACAGGCACTCAACTTGCTCAAAACCACCATGGATAAAAATCTCTATTCCAGGCCAACGTACACCAGTTTGCTTTCCCTTTTTATTCACCTTAAATTACATTTTCATCTTAAAGATGCAAATATAATTGCTTTAGGGTTTGCCTGG